AGTTACGATAATCTTAATAACTTTAAAAATGCCAAAAAATGCTATCTTCAATGAAAAGAATAACACCTTTTATTTTTTATTATTTTTTTGAGACCGAGTCTCAGTCTTGTTGCCCCCGCTAGAGTGCCATGGCGTCAGCCTAGCTCACACCAACCTCAAACTCCTGGGCTCCTGTGATCCTTCTGCCTCAGCCTTCCGAGTAGCTGGGACTACAGGCATGCGCCACCATGCCTGGCTAATTTTTTCTATTTTTTTGGTAGAAAGGGGTGTCTCCCTTTTGCTCAGGCTGGTGTTAAACTCCTGAGCTCAAACTATCCGCCCACCTTGGCCTCCCAGAGTGCTAGGATTACAGGCATGAGCCACCACACCCAGCCCAGAATAACACCTTTTAAAAGATAACATCTATTGTTTCTATACCAACATCTGAGATATTTTGTTTTGCCTGAATAGTGACAATATTTTATTAGGAGTAAAGAGTTTATTTTTAACAAACTGTAGTAAGGTTTGTTCTTTTACATCAGTATGTTTGTCATAAGTTGTTTATTTCTAAGATTCACCTTATCCTGTGAAATATTTAAGGTCAGCTATATAAAATTAACTTCAAAAGATTACAATTTAGGACAAACATCCTCAACACATATAACTTGTTTCTGTTCAAGGGTATACATTCCTTTGGAAAATGGTACTTAAGAACATAAACAGATGACCATTTCTCAGTTATCCTTTTAGTTTAATGCCTACCTTAACTCAAGCTTTCTCAGACAGAATTCTTTGTTTCTTTTCAAACAATCTCAAACTAACAAAAACGTTTCAAGATCAGGACATTTTTTCTCCTGAACCACATGACAGTAAGTTGCTATCTTGATCACCCTCACCTCTCTAGAACATTACTGTACATCTCCTACAAAGGACATTGCCCTGCATCATCCCAATACTGCCATTAAAATCAGGAAATGCACATTTATGCAGCACCACTTCATCCTCAAACCCCATCTAAAGTTCAACAAAAGTCCCTATATTTTGTAGCAAAAGGTTCCAGCTCAGAATGGCTTGTTGCCATTAGCTGCATGTTTCTCCATGCAGCTTTCATGACCTGGACACTTCTGAAAATCCTAGGAGAGTTCTGTTGTAACATGGTTAGATTCTAGGTAGGCACATTTGGCAGGAATATCACAGAGGTGATGCTCTGTTCCTCTAATTGTATTCTATAAGATGACACACCATTTTTTTTTGGTCTCTTTACTGATGATTTTTTAGTTTGATCATTTGATTAAAGTGCTGTCTGTCAAGTTTTCCCACTGTAAAGTTATTCTTTTCCCATTGTATTACTAAGAATTTTGTGAGTAATTACTGTTACTATGAAACTGTAATATTTTGTGCTTCATCAAATTTTCCATTGATTCATTTAATTAACTTATGTCAGGATGTACTCTCATGAATCCATTTCTCCAAGAAGTCCTGATTTACTATTAGTAAAGAATGGTATGAGAATCCAAGATCTGGGTGCTAAGTATACTCACAGCTACTGGGAAATCACTGCTCCATCTCAGTGGACAGAACTAAGAACACATGCATGCATATTCATACATACACACACTCAATATACATATAATGTATATAATATGCATGTGTTTATGATATGCAAGACATATATTTTCTATACATACACATGCTTATATCTATATATTATATCTATATAATATAGATACATAGATATAAACATAGGTAAAGAGACGAAGTCATGAATGCATGAATGCACACTGATACTGTCACTTGCAATCCAATACCCCAGGCAGGGTTCATTCTGCTTACTCTACTGTCTTTATTTCCTTCTTGTTTAGTGAAAAACCTGAATTCTAGTATCCTTTTCACCGCTGCCACACTTGTCCCCCACAGACATGTCCTCCCTCACTGCTCAGGCTCCAACCTCCTGTGCTGGTCTGACCGTCCTGCATGCTTTACCTTGATTGGGATCAGACTACATGTCTGGCTGCCCCTGCACAGATGCCCTTGCTCAGCTCTAAGACCCTGTGCAAAGCTGCCCCTCTGCAGGAGAACCCACTTCACTGTGCTCAGGCTCCAACACTCCACCATCCTTGGTGGGCTTGGCCTCTGATACCTTCATCTGGGGCTTTTCGCGTAAGGATGCCTCCCTGCTCTTCCCTGCTCTATAGCTATAGGATCCATTCAAGGGAAAGATGGTTGGGAGAAGGGAGAAAGGAAAAAAGGGAGTGAGAGTGACAGAAGACCAGGAAAAAGTCAGCTGAACTAATTCTTAACAAATGTTTGAATAATGTAATTTTATTGTGATGATAAATTTAGGATAAAAATTTTGACACATCAGAAACATCCTTATTAAAGGCAGGCTTATAGTTAACTTGTTTCTTTAGGTAGTTTAAGTGCTTTGAAAGATAAAACCTGCTAGCACTTTCTTCTGAGATATGGACTAACAATGCCAGATACAGGTGGGCGCTCAAATAACATTTGTTTCAAAAATATTACTAGGCAGCTGCTGTGTTGGGAAGAGGCATATACTAGGGAAGGGGGTTGATCAAGGAAGCACAAAAGCCAGGTCCTCTGTAATTAAAATAATCATTTTCAGTGACTCCATGGTAGATATTTTTCTAAAGACAAATATGACCCATTACCCCAATTTGTTACATGTAACATTTTTAATAATGATGATTAAATATTCCAATGTATGTAATATTTCTCCTTTACAAAGATATTTTACATTTCTGAAAAACCCTAAAAGCATCAAGGTGAGTCCCTGTGCCTAACTTTATCCCAGGATTTAAACTGTGTCAGCATATCCTTCAGCTCAAATCAAACATTTAGATTCAAACACTGTGCTTGCTCTCTGTCAGTGGTTCCAAATTTTCACAGACATACCCAATTAGCTCAGAGAGACAACTGAGCATCGTGTGTAAGCATTGCATTAAGTAAACATGCATTACATTGACCAATGCCAAATTTCCTGCTCCACTGCTTAAATATGTAGACTTCAACAGTTACTTAACTTAAGCCACAATTTCCTCATCTGAAAGCCAGGGATAATAAAAGCTAACTCAGAGGGCTATAAACTGCATAGCGTAGTGCCTGGCACACAGTTGTCATATAATAAATATGACAATTGATAGCCACTTTTGACATGAAAATTTGCCTCAAAGTCTTAGATTAACAGAACACCTATCTTCAAGTCTACAGTTTAAAGCATCTGGATAAAATAAATCCAATAAACCTTACAATATCCTTTAGCAAAGAGGAAACTGCTTTTCACAGAGTTCAATACAGTATCTAGAAAACAAGCTGAGGTTGCCTGACAATTTTTAATTCTGGCTTCAAATTAGATGCTAACTTCATGGCTTTTATCTGACACACTATTCCATAATTTTAGCTTAAGTAGAGATAAAAGGACAGTTTTTACACCACATACAAACACAGACATTCCCTGCTCCTTTCATCCCATTTATTTACACCTTCATTTATTCCACTTCATTTGTTTTCCACTTTTTTTTCTCTTTGGAAATCTGCTCTGGATAACAATTTAAACCAACAGAATAAGTATCTACCCAACATTACACGCTTTAGCCATATTTCAAAGCAATGGTTTTCAACCTGATTAGAATCACATGGGAAGTTGTGTAAACTCCTAATGTCTAGGCTGAATGCCAGGCCAAATGAGCCACAGACTTTGAGGACAGCATCCAGGTATCACTATTTTTTAAGCTCTTGGGTAATTCTGACATCTAGCCAAGTGGAGAACCAAAGTTCTAGGACTAACCCACAATACACTGGTTCTCAGGACTGCAATCCACTGAGGGGAATGATAGGTGAATCAGGGATAAAAGAAGTGGAGATACCCAGAGGGAGGAAAAGGTACTGGACAATTCCCTACAGGCGGTATGATGGAAAAGAAATGTGCGGCATGGCAATTTAGAAATTGACGTTATCCAAAATGTTTTGTCCAAGTTGTTAACAACTAGGGTTTTTAAAAGGCATTTATAAAAAATGAATAGTCTTACCTTTTGATTATCTTTCATTCTTTACGGTATGTTTCAAAACATCTACATGCTATAAGCTCATGAAAATAAATCCTAAGGAAAGGTTGGAAACTTTGTGTAGAATAATGTCCCATTCCAGTTACTGACGGCCACTGTGTATCAGCTTGAGAGGCTGGTGTGTTCTATTGCCCTCCCTGGGTGCTAACACTTAAGAGATTTACAACACAGAAACCCGCATTAGAAAGTAGGTTAGATGGAATACTCTCAACATAAAAAATAATTACAAACAGGTGAAGCTAAAATGGCAAACTTGGTGTTGGCTCTGGTAATGTTTTGTAAATTCCTCAATGTGTCTTAAATAAACAAACAACAACAAAAGAAAAACAAGAAACAACCACAAAAAAAAAAAAAGAAACCAACAACAACTTTGTTTTCAAAGACCATGGTGTACACACACGTTATCCTGTAAGATGTGAGGGCTTTGGTTAGTGGATGGGTTACGATTTTTTTGTCCCCTAACCCCACCCCGAAAGCCAACCCACCTGCTAGGAAGAAAAAAAGAGGTCATACTTGGGCCTTACTATCCATTCCACTCAAATGAAGGGAGTAGGCCTCAGGGGATGTGGCTTCCAGAAATCGTGCCACATTACGGCAGGCCAAAGTCGCGGGCTGGTCCCCGCACTCACCCACGAGCCCCTCGCCCTGTTCCCAGGAGAAACCAGACCCTGCCCTGTACCAATGCCCTGACTCGCGGGGCGCTGTTCGTTCCAGATTCACCCCGAAGAGCCGAGGAGCGCGAGCCGCCCCAGCGCCCAGGTTCAGCTTAGGTAACCCAAGCGCAGCCAATGGGAGGCCGCCGCCCGCCCTCGCCAGCATCCCCGCGCCTCGCCCCTCCACCCCGGCCCCGCGATGCCCTCCGCCCGCGGGGCCCGAGCCTCGCGCTCTCCTCCCCGCGCGCCCTCCGCGCTCCCCGCCCGGCCCTTGCACCCGTCCCACCTGGATCGCCGCCGTCCGCCAGGCTCGGGCGCGCCGCGGCCAGGAGGCACAGGAAGGAGAGCAGCCCGGGCGTCGGCCCCCGGGGCCCCCGCAGGCCAGGGACGGCACGCATGGCTCTCGAGGGTCCGCCGCGGTTCTCCTGCAGGCTGCGCCCTCGGCTCGCTGCCGTCGGGGCCCGGAGTCCCGGTGAACGCTCGCCGGTGGCCCAGCGCCCGCTGCCAGTCCCGGGGGCAGGACGCGCGAGAAAAGGCGGAGTGGGAGGGGCCGGGCTGCCTGCCCTGTTCCCCCGAGAGGCTCTTGCCGCGCCCGGCCCTCCATCAATTATGCAGCCCGCCGCCGGCTCCGGCGCGCCCGGATGTGCGGTGCAACCTCCGGCCGCATCCTCTCGGGCCTCCGCCCTCTGGGCTCCGGCAGGTCGGACCTGGAGCTCGCTGAAGTGGCTGTGCAGGTGACGCCTGGCCCACCTCCTCAGCGAGAGGTTGTAGCCTTTGCAGTTCATCTGAGGCGGGATTCACTTACTTACTTTGCTGGGACGGAGGAGAACGTGAAGGACACTTCTGCTCCCCTTCTCCCGAACGTCTTTGGGCTTTCTTATTAAAAACGCTTGTTTTTGCGCTGGAGTATAAGATTCTATCCAGCTGCCCCGACACCCTGGACTAATCTTTCTTTGCTCTGCCTACCAAACACGCACACCCTCTCTTCCAGTCTCTGAAGACTTAACTCATTCTCTCCAGATTAAGGTTTCAGACTCCCAAGTCCCCACAGTGTGTCTGATTTTATTTTACTTTTGTATGCTTAGCCTAACAGCTTTTGGGGAGCCACCCAGAGCTCAAGAAACAAAACCTAACGAAAGTAGATACTGTGTAAACTGCACAAAGATGTGGACCTTTGTTAAACTGGAACATCGTCTAAGATAATGCCGTCCTCTTAAGCAGCAAGGCTGTGGCTTGGGGTTTCCAATGCCCCGAACTAGAAAAAAAAACAACTAAAATCTAGTGCTTTATCTGCGAAGGGAGGAGGAATCTACATTGTAACATAAAAACACATTGAGATTTGATGACTCTCCAGAATGTTATCTATATATTTTTTAGATAAAAAATATCTAAAAGATATTTTTTAAAAATATCTTTTTAAAAAGATATTTTTAAAGTCTTTCTCATGAGCTTTGTTCCCTCCTTTATTTTTTGAAAGTCAGCTTTGACATTCATAGATTCAAAAGGTATCAGTGTCAAAGAACAAGATTGAAAAAAAATGTTAGATACAAATTTTGAAAATTGAACTGTTTAACAATAACTATGCTTACTCCAGACAGCAAAGGTTAAGTTTTAATTGGTATACATTACTAAAACATTCCTCTGGTTCTGCTTTAGTATTATATGCACAAACTTTGCAAAAAGAATGTAGGTTATTCGAATTGGTCACGAGAGAACACAAGTGCTACAATTCATTCAACAATATTATCTCCCAAGTCCAGACACTATGTTCAAAATAGGCTGGATGTACTGCAAAGAACATATGTACACACCCCCCACACACACACTAATTAATACAGAGAATTATTTATATGTGAACTACAAATCTAAAGAAAGCTTCTTCTCAGTCTGAAAATTATGGTTACGATGATTAAACCTTTTGAACAAAGCCTTATAAGAGGCCTTGAAGGACTAAAACTTACATACTATGAACCGCTCAGGGCCTGCTAAACCCAAATTGCCTAACTGATGGCTGTTTAAATCACACCCCTGTCTTGCTGCACTGCATCCTGTCTCAGTACTAACTGCAAACATTTCCCTATACAAGGTAGAGTTTTAACAGTAAGCACTTCTCAGACCAAACGGAACTCTGATTGACCTTTCCCAATTAGTCCTATAAAATCCTTAGCCACAAATGCACCCTTCTTCAAATCAGCTGATCTTATTTAAAGAAAAATTTTCTTGTCAGTTGAATCAGCCTGTTTGTGAACAGGAAAAAGTGACTTGCCCAAATTAATGCTAATTCCCACTGTTGCTTTTGTTGTTAGAGCAAAACAAGTTGAGAAAGAAATATAATTCTTGTTTTGCCAAGCATTTTAAAAGTCTTTTCACCATTGTTACTGTTCTATATTGAGGTATATGATTTTTTTTTTCTTGGCCTTATTCACATTCCACTTTTTCAAATGCTCCATATCCTTTAAAAACCAGCTTATCTACTAACTTTCCTGTATAGGTTTATCTGATCTTTCTGGTCCTAATTGGCCTTTCCCTCCATGATTAAATAAATAAGGCCACAAACACTTTGATATTCTCCTTATCATAAGGTATATTGAGGGGGAAGGAGGGTCTTCTATTTTCTCCCCTTCAGCTGAGTGGGCTCTGTGACTCCTCTAACCTACTAAATATTGCTGAAGTAACACTGCCTGGGCTTCCAGCTCCAGACCACAAGAGTTTCCACTTCCTTTCTCTTGAAACCCTTGCTCTTAGAAGACAGCTGCTAGGTAAGAAGTACTACTGTTCTACCCTGAAACCAGCATGCTGTGAGAAGCCCAACTACATGGAGGATCCTGTCAAAATAAAATCAGATCGAGTATTAATAAAAAGGAATATGAGAGTTTATTGTATATATGTACAAAAGAACAGTTCAAAAACCAGGAGTCTTCAAATCAAAAGTGGTGAAGAAGATTGACTCACAAGAATTATAGCTTATAAAGCATCAATGAGGAAGTGTATTGATCTCTATAGTGCTTGAATATTAAAAATTTACACTCCTTTTAGGGCAAATAGGGCTGTATAAGCATATTTGACTGTAGCTTATTGGTTCAATTTTATCATACTGACAAGGAAGAAAAGTTTAAGTTTTATTTATGGTTAGAGCTCTCATTTCCAGAAAAATCAAGATAGCTTAAGTTTCAGTTATATGGCTATGGTGGTGGACGTAGGGTTATACCTAAACTGTGGCCTCGATTTTGACTATAATAATTCCCACCTTTTGGTCATTCTCTCAGTTGAACTGAGAATGAGACAAGTATTAGGTGTCACTTTCTATCACCACATGTTGTTTCTCTCTTCGTGGTCATCTGAAGATGACAAACCAGGATTCCAGTAGGTTCTTCCAGTGATTCATATTCATGTCGTTTTTGTTGTTCCATCCTTTATGGAGATCATGTGACAAGTCAGTGGCTACCAACAAGCATTTAAGACTCTTGAGAGAACATAAGGTACAAGGGAGATTATTAATATGATAATAGAAAGATAATACCAAGAACTTGAAAAATACTCTGAATCTAAGTCCCTAAAAGCCGATATTTAACCAACTAACTAGATCAATTGATTGTGCCTCCCTGATCTGGTGGAATACTTGGACCTTATCTTTCAGATCTCTACAATTTGGGGCTACAATTCCTGACTTATTGACATAAAAACAGCATTTTTCTCTAATAGGAATGCAGGCTCCTTGCCAAGCTTAAAGTATCAAGAACTCTCCCATTTGGAGTAGAACTGTGTTCAATTCACTGAAAATTGTATCTCTTGAAAAGAATTTACATTTTCATTAAAATTCTTTTCAAGAACTATAGAAATACAGATGCATGATCTTTATAATCCAGACACATCTAGTCAAGGGAACAGTGCTCTAAAGAAAGAATGAAATCCAAAACTACTCTGTATAACTGAGTTTGGAAACTCACAAGAAATTCATTTTGAGGGGGAGGGGGTTTCTTTGTGTATGAAAAATTCCAAATTAAGAATTTGACTTAGAAAGTTAAGCATTTAGAAAGCTAATTTGTATCCTAGGAGTTTTTTCACTTTTTTGTGGCCCCAGGAACTGTCTCATTTGCATATTTGAGTTCTAGGATATTTCTGGTGATAACCTCAGTACTGTATATTTAGTTTTAGTTTCCTGGGAGGAGTGGAGAAAGAAGGAGGGAAGCCAGTTTACTTCTATGCTGCTAGTTTGGAACCAGAAGTTCAAGGTGGATATTGAACAAAGTTCATCTTCAAGTGCTCAAATGGTTGTGATAGTGAGTGAGTTATTCTTAGGGACACTTTAATGGTCGTTCTAGGATTATGGGCTTGATAAATCAGGCACTGATTATAGTCAAGCCTAGCTACTTTTGAAGCATCTCCCCACCAATATTTTATAACAGTTTGAATCATTTAATCAACTCTATGATGAGTAAAATTATGGAAAGCTCAGAGGAGTTGCAACTTTAGGGGTTCAGGAAGTACCTCACAGCTGTCTGGGCACTCCCAGAATTCCTTAACTATTTTACATTCCTTACTCATGCAATCTTTTTTTTTTTTTTTTTTTTTCAGTTTCTAAGGCATATTTTTACCATTCTGGTAAGTGTTGAATTTATTTTATGTCCTTTGGATGGATTTTACTCAAGGGTATAGTTGAGATAGTTTTTTGGTGGAGCTTTAGCATGGAAATCAGCCATGTCATCTCCCTGATACTCAGGGTATCTTCTGTGAATATGAGTTTCAATTTTTATGATGGCTACTCCCAAAGGCCACAGTAATACAGAGAGAAAATCAGCAATCTGAGACCCATTCTTTATAGGCATTATTTGACATTAAGAATCCCCTGTGTTTCTATAGCACACCAAAATCATGGGCTATTCCAAAAGCACAGCTGGCATCAGAATAGATATTTACAGTCTTTTTTTGTTATTTTACAGGCTCAGATAAGGGAAAATAGTTCTACAGTTTGGGCTGAATTGAATTTTGAAAGAACTCCTCTTTATAATAATTCATTTTGGATCGTAACTGCATACCCAGCTTGTTATTTTCCTTCAGAATTTTTGGCGTAGGAGCCATCAACATAGAGCTCCAGTTCTGGATTGGCTAATGGGGTTTCTTTTAAATCCAATCTGGGAGTCAAGTTTTTGAGAAATCCATTTGACACAGCTATGAGTCTCTCCTTCATCAGGTAAAGGTAAGAGGGTAGCAGAATTTAAAGAGCTGTAGCAAAGAATATGCAGATTTGAAGGTGACAGGAGCAGAATCTCGTAGGACATTCGCCAGCTGGGTGAGAAATGCTGGGTACATTTAATATTTCACAAGCTTTCTATAGCATGAGAAATCTGTACACATAAGCTGTTGCCTTGAACAAGTTCTGAAGAGAATTCTGCAATTCTGCAATGTTGGCACTTGCCGCTACAGTCTTTAAGCAATTTGAATATGTTGTGGCTACCAGACCTACCTGTAGGCTATACTGGACTGTGGGTCTATTTGTCCACCATGTTTTGAGTAAGGGCTTCCAGAGCCTGATAGTTTCATTCATGAACAAACAAGTGAAGGGCTTAATATAAGCCTAAGACAGGAGGATTTTACAAAGCCTGTTTTAGTTCAGTAAGGGCCTCTTTATATTTGGTCTTCCAAAGAAAAGGTTACTATGCGCTATTTTCAGTTAGTTTATAGAGTGGAGAGGCCAGGAAGAGGACCTATAATATCCTATAAGTCCCAGGAATCCTTTTAATTGCCTGTTAGTCACAGGTTGAGAATAATTTTGGATAGTATTTATTTTTTCTGGAGATATAAAGATTCCTTTTGCAGAGAAGTCACAACCTAGATAATGTACTTCTTGTGAAAGTCAAAGCTTATTTCAAGAGGCCTTATGGCCCTTATAAGCCAGTTGTTGTAACAGGTATATTAAGTCAATTTCTGAGTCCTCTTCAGTTGAAGAACAAAGAAGCACATCATCCGCATATTGAATCAAGGTAGAACTTCTAGGAAATTGCAGTGTTCAAATACTGATGTAAACTTGTAGGAAGTATGAGTTAGCCTTGGTTAAAGCTCGATTATTAATTATTAATTACTGGCCAGGCGCGGTGGCTCACGCCTGTAATCCTAGCACTCTGGGAGGCCGATGCGGGCGCATAGCTCAAGGTCTGGAGTT